AGATAACTGAATCTCAATATAGGTTCAATCATGGTCTTAGTAAAGAACTACACCCTCAGTAACACTTAAACAGACCTATTTTTGATAAGAGCGGCGGTTATACGTTTAGAATTTCCAAAGTTCTTAAGAAAATGCAAAAGAAAACCGCACAATTCCCGCACAAATTTCGAAAAAATCGCCGCACATTTGCCGCATAATTGGTAAAAATTTACCGCAACTTACCGCACATTTTACCTTTATAGTCGGGTGCGGTACCGCATAATTTCGATTTTTTTACCGCACCTAATATGTGCCTCTGTTGAAAATGGGACAGACTTTTGAAAATACAGCATTTCGTTTTCTTAAGCTTTCTGCTGTGGGCTTCCTCCGACCGATATCAATCTTCCAGCACCTCAATCGTGTCATATGCCATCTATAGTTGACTTACTAATTGGTTGCGGTTGAGAAATTCAGTAAAAACTGTAAAATTTCGGTCCTGGAAATTTCATCTTCAAAAACTGAAAATGGGACAGAGATTTGGAATATATGATTTTACAATTTTATTCGGGATTTTGACTTCCAGTACCCGAATTTGGTTTCATACCATCATCAATTAACTGACTAATTGGTTTGTGGGCAAAAATGTCATCTAATCTGTCAAATTTGTGTTCAGAAAATTTCATATTTGAAAATGGGACAGACTTTTGAAAATACAGCTTTTCGTTTTCTTAAACTTTCTGCTGTGGGCTTCCTCCGACCGATATCAATCTTCCAGTACCTCAATCGTGTCATATGTCATCTATAGTTTACTTACTAATTGGTTGCAGGTGAGAAATTCAGTAAGAACTTTAAAATTTCGGTCCTGGAAATTTCATCTTCAAAAACTGAAAATGGGACAGAGATTTGGAATATATGATTTTACAATTTTATTCGGGATTTTGACTTCCAGTACCCAAATTTGGTTTCATACCATCATCAATTAACCGACTAATTGGTTTGTGGGCAAAAATGTCATCTAATCTGTCAAATTTGTGTTCAGACAATTTCATATTTGAAAATGGGACAGACTTTTGAAAATACAGCTTTTCGTTTTCTTAAGCTTTCTGCTGTGGGCTTCCTCCGACCGATATCAATCTTCCAGCACTTCAATCGTGTCATATGCCATCTATAATTTACTTACTAATTGGTTGCAGGTGAGAAATTCAGTAAAAACTGTAAAATTTCGGTCCTGGAAATTTCATCTTCAAAAACTGAAAGTGGGACAGAGATTTGGAATATATGATTTTACAATTTTATTCGGGATTTTGACTTCCAGTACCCCAATTTGGTTTCATTCCATCATCAATTAACTGACTAATTGGTTTGTGGGCAAAAATGTCATCTAATCTGTCAAATTTGTGTTCAGACAATTTCATATTTGAAAATGGGACAGACTTTTGAAAATACAGCTTTTCGTTTTCTTAAGCTTTCTGCTGTGGGCTTCCTCCGACCGATATCAATCTTCCAGCACCTCAATCGTGTCATATGCCATCTATAGTTTACTTACTAATTGGTTGCAGGTGAGAAATTCAGTAAAAACTGTAAAATTTCGGTCCTGGAAATTTCATCTTCAAAAACTGAAAATGGGACAGAGATTTGGAATATATGATTTTACAATTTTATTCGGGATTTTGACTTCCAGTACCCCAATTTGGTTTCATACCATCATCAATTAACTGACTAATTGGTTTGTGGGCAAAAATGTCATCTAATCTGTCAAATTTGTGTTCAGAAAATTTCATATTTGAAAATGGGACAGACTTTTGAAAATACAGCTTTTCGTTTTCTTAAGCTTTCTGCTGTGGGCTTCCTCCGACCGATATCAATCTTCCAGCACCTCAATCGTGTCATATGCCATCTATAGTTGACTTACTAATTGGTTGCAGGTGAGAAATTCAGTAAAAACTGTAAAATGTCGGTCCTGGAAATTTCATCTTCAAAAACTGAAAATGGGACAGAGATTTGGAATATATGATTTTACAATTTTATTCGGGATTTTGACTTCCAGTACCCCAATTTGGTTTCATACCATCATCAATTAACTGACTAATTGGTTTGTGGGCAAAAATGTCATCTAATCTGTCAAATTTGTGTTCAGACAATTTCATATTTGAAAATGGGACAGACTTTTGAAAATACAGCTTTTCGTTTTCTTAAGCTTCCTGCTGTGGGCTTCCTCCGACCGATATCAATCTTCCAGCACCTCAATCGTGTCATATGTCATCTATAGTTTACTTACTAATTGGTTGCAGGTGAGAAATTCAGTAAGAACTGTAAAATTTCGGTCCTGGAAATTTCATCTTCAAAAACTGAAAATGGGACAGAGATTTGGAATATATGATTTTACAATTTTATTCGGGATTTTGACTTCCAGTACCCAAATTTGGTTTCATACCATCATCAATTAACCGACTAATTGGTTTGTGGGCAAAAATGTCATCTAATCTGTCAAATTTGTGTTCAGACAATTTCATATTTGAAAATGGGACAGACTTTTGAAAATACAGCTTTTCGTTTTCTTAAGCTTTCTGCTGTGGGCTTCCTCCGACCGATATCAATCTTCCAGCACTTCAATCGTGTCATATGCCATCTATAGTTTACTTACTAATTGGTTGCAGGTGAGAAATGCAGTAAAAACTGTAAAATTTCGGTCCTGGAAATTTCATCTTCAAAAACTGAAAATGGGACAGAGATTTGGAATATATGATTTTACAATTTTATTCGGGATTTTGACTTCCAGTACCCCAATTTGGTTTCATTTCATCATCAATTAACTGACTAATTGGTTTGTGGGCAAAAATGTCATCTAATCTGTCAAATTTGTGTTCAGAAAATTTCATATTTGAAAATGGGACAGACTTTTGAAAATACAGCTTTTCGTTTTCTTAAGCTTTCTGCTGTGGGCTTCCTCCGACCGATATCAATCTTCCAGCACCTCAATCGTGTCATATGCCATCTATAGTTGACTTACTAATTGGTTGCAGGTGAGAGAGTCAGTAAAAACTGTAAAATTTCGGTCCTGGAAATTTCATCTTCAAAAACTGAAAATGGGACAGAGATTTGGAATATATGATTTTACAATTTTATTCGGGATTTTGACTTCCAGTACCCCAATTTGGTTTCATACCATCATCAATTAACTGACTAATTGGTTTGTGGGCAAAAATGTCATCTAATCTGTCAAATTTGTGTTCAGAAAATTTCATATTTGAAAATGGGACAAACTTTTTATTTGAAAATGGGACAGACTTTTTATTTGAAAATACAACTTTTTGTTTTCTTAAGATTTCTGCTGTGGGCTTTTTCCGACCGATATCAAACTTCCAGCACCTCAATCGTGTCATATGCCATCTATATAGTTGACTTACTAATTGGTAGCGGGTGTGAAATTCAGTAAAAATTGTAAATTTTCGGTCATGGAAATTTTACAGGAAAAGTATGCGATGCTTTTGTAGAGATTCAAAACTTATTACACAATTGAAATGGTAATTGAGGGCATACAGATTACAGAAAGCTGCAGACACAATTTCACCCCATACAATTTTGAGAATATTAAGTCATCTGAACATATGAAGTTATTCCGAAACGTATCCAAGTTTGTTCTTATAAGTTTAATCGTGATCGCTAAATATATATATACACAAAAATGAATGCTCTGCATTGTATTAATTAAGAACAAAGGAAGAAATTTTAATTTGAAGAACTTCAGCGAAAATGCAAACTTTCAGTTTCACAAACTATATGCAAACATTTCAAAATTAGACACAGCATCGATCACTACCATATGTACACATCATCGATGACTTATGTATAGTATAACTATGAATCGAAAGTCCGAGACAGGAAATAAAGGGGCCATTCAGACAGTTCAGTTCATGTTCTACGTGTTAAACCGGTTTATCTGTTATCTCTCCCCTTTTATTGTAATCTGTAATCGAACACGTTTTTAATTGCAATTTGATAACATTGTGCAATCTAGCAAACCAAAAAGAGCCAACATAATAATATTTTTGGTGGTATAATATTAACATAATTCTATAATTGATGAATTAGCGAGTTCAGATAGGTGAAAATGGGTACTTTTTCGGGGTACCTGACTTAAATAATAACATTATGGTATTATGGTTGGTTCATCTCAAATCAGTTAGTCCGTGGTTCTGTTAGAGGTGTTTTGTTCATTTGTAATCTTTCCTTCTTACCTCCCAGTTTACCACTGCACCACAAATCAACTAGACTTAGACTAACGTTTAAGACCATGTTTGCCGAGATACAGAAATGGTGCAGAGTAAGAAGACGGTACTTAGCATATTGTAGCATTCTTCTGGTGCTTTATTTCGAAATGATTGCAAGGTAATACACTATACAGTACATTTTAAATACCAACGTAATGTCCGTTCAAATAAAATCCGATAAGAAATTAGCATTCGTATTATTTATATCGCCTCCCCGCCAGTATCCACATCTTGATATATTATCTATATCGATTATAACACAGCTTAAATATCTTGTCTCGAGTAGGGACTGTGTAAATACATGAATAAACTGTCCAACAGGTTTGGTATTCCGATCGCAATGATGAAGGGTCTAGTAAAGAAGAGCTGTAATGATCCTGACGATGAGGGAACGTTCTGCTGGTCGGAGAGTACGCAAGCCTTCGTTATTGGCGCCTACTTCTATGGGTACGCTGTTCAAGCCGTCACAGCTTACATTGCAAAACGTTTTACAGGTATTGGTAGACACATTATTTGTTAAAAATATGTCGCATTTGGGTACACGAAGGGAAACACTAAATATGAGGCTTGAATTCTTCGTAAAACTACTGTACATCATTAGATAAGATGTAAAACATGAAATAATCACTTCAACATCCTTTGTTATAAATATAAGATTCCCTTCAAAAATAAATCAAGAGTTTTACCCATAAAATTTCTTTGCAGGTTTTTTTAGAACTTACAGATTTTGGCTTTTGGCTTCCGGGATTATTGTGGCGTGCTTTCCTGCCATTGCAGATGTTTCGGTTGAGTTACTCATAATATCTCAGGTAGGTATTCTTGCTGGTGTTTACTAATATGATACTCAATTACGTTTCAAGTTAATTTAACTTTGTAGGTTCCTTCCCTACTCGTTGACCATTGACCCCGAGCTTGATTCATGAACTTGGAATATCATTTTAAACTACATAAGTTGAGAAATTAGCCATTTACTATCGCAGGTGATAAGAGGGTTTTTAGCAGGGGTAATGGTTGCATTCAACTTCAACTACCTTGCAAAATTCAGTGTTGGCGATGAAAACAAAACAATAATTCCTGCGACCGGTAGGAACCATGATAAATCAATTATTTGCATGATTATTAATTATTGCAAATAAGGATATGATTAAGCATATAAACTAAGCCATTGATTTTCATCAATATCCTCCTGAGTCCTGACTATTAACGTAGAATTAGAAAACATTCACGTATAGAACTTGTGATGCTGATGATAATTAGTTACAATCACTCTATGATCGTTTTCACATGAGTTATTTGCAACTGTACCTTAACCTAATTAACCTAATTAACCTAATTAACCTAATTAACCTAATTAGCCTAATTAACCTAATTAACCTAATTAACCTAATTATCCTAATTAACCTAATTAATCTAATTAACCTAATTAACATAATTAACCTAATTAACCTAATTAACTGGTTTCAGGAGTTATAGCAAATGTTGGCAGCGGCACAGGAGGGTTATTAGCTGCTCTGATAATCGAAAGTTTCAACTGGCGATATTATTTCTACTTTATGAGCGCTATATACATGTTAGGGCTCGTGTCTCACCTTCTTTTCGTGCAAGAATCTCTTGAAAAGTCTTGGTTAGTGCTAAACTTAAACCGTATTTGTAAACAAATACTGAAAACTGATGCAGGTTAATTTTAAGATAAAGTGTCAAGTCCTTATTACAGTTAAGTTCATTTTCAGGATGAAAATATATTTTACTGCAGTTAAAACTCACCAAATACTCACCAGGTACTTGACAGACGATGAAAAGGAAATAATCATAAAATCAAACGACTCCAAAGCTGAACAAACTGCATCAGACCAAGCACCTGACACACTAAAATCAGGGATATGCCGTCTCTACCTACTAGCCTTCTGTATCCACAACTTTGGGTACGCTTTAATCTGGTACAATACCCTCAATGTTATACCATTCTACCTGAATAAAGTCCTGGGAGCATCACCTCTTCTCATCGCATCATTGAACACAGCTCTATGCATTTTGATCGCTGTTTGCACTATTGTATTCTCAGTGTTGTATCAGAAACTAGATAAGATCATGTCCTGGGTTGAGTGTAGAATGATTCTAACCGTTCTCCCCATGGTATGTCAGATTATATTTGCCATCGGAATGTCATACAGTAACACGACCACGGGTGGTGTGATTATTTTGTCATTTTGTGCGATTGCATCCTCGACGTATTTTTCCGGCGGCTTGGTAACCCTAAATTACGAACTAGATCCTGATAACTCTGCTCTAAAATGCTCGATATTCAATAGTTTTGGTCAGATGGCGGGGTTTGTAGGACCCTTGTTGATGGCGGCTATTACCAACACTCCCCCTGATACACCAAACTATACGGAGGTCTACAAACAAAAGTGGTCGTTCTTTTTCTTCGTGGTAGCTGGGATTGCAGCTGTTTCATCCCTGGTCATTGTGCTTGCTTACTTCCTGAAGAGAGACGAGTGGGTTCCTTTCAAGGATAGAAAGTATACCACAGAGGTATGCAGTGCACCTCCTGAGGTAGGAGGAGAGTGAGATAGGAAGAGCGTGAGGTAGGAGGAGAGTGAGGTAGAAGGAGAGTGAGGTAAGAGGAGAGTGAGGTAGGAGGAGAGTGAGGTAGGAGGAGAGTGAGGTAGAAGGAGAGTGAGGTAAGAGGAGAGTGAGGTAGGAGGAGAGTGAAGTAGGAGGAGAGTGAGGTAGAAGGAGAGTGAGGTAGGAGGAGAGTGAGGTAGGAGGAGAGAGAGATAGGAGAAGAGTGAGGTAGGAGGAGAGTGAGGTAGGAGGAGAGTGAGGTAAGAGCAGAGTGAGGTAGGAGGAGAGTGAGGTAGAAGGAGAGTGAGGTGGGAGGAGAGTGAGGTAGGAGGAGAGTGAGGTAGGAGGAGAGTGAGGTAGAAGGAGAGTGAGGTAGGGGGAGAGTGAGGTAAGAGGAGAGTGAGGTAGGAGGAGAGTGAGGTAGGAGGAGAGTGGGGTTGAAAACATACAGATAGAAGAACTATTAGATGTAGAATTAGAGACAATTATCTCTAAACATTTTATGAAGTATTACAAAATTGGACTAAAGATGCATGTTATTTCAGAATAGTTGTAAATCGCATGATCTATAATAATACATGATCAATATATGTTTATTCAAGACAATACTACTAGCATTAACAGCACTTAAAAATATTTATTGAGTAAATGATGGACATATTTTAATTTGGTTCAGTCAGTTCGAAACCTGACTGCACGGCATATTAGCTTGCGTCTGATTTCTCAACGAAGAGCAAGAATAGGCATGTTAAACAAACTGCTTACAAATATTTCTTATTCCTACATTTGCTTTACAAGCCCTGTCTTGTAGAAACAGTATGTAATTCGCTTCTACTAGACTCATGAACATTGTATGAACCTCAACTATGGATTTATATGAGAAAGTTATTATGTGCAGTCCATTTAAACAATACAATATCAGTCAATATAATACGTAAAACCCAGTAACATTAGTAAGTAACTTTAAACATATCTACTACAAAACTAAACTTAATAATGTTTTATCACGCGAGCTATAGGCTCTAATTTCTCTAATCAGTTACGGTTAATGTGTTTACCTGCATCATCTGAACTATCTTCATACGATAATAACGGGCGGTGTATTATCAGAATAGAGCACTTAACCCGTGCTCGTGATATTGCGGTATAAAGAAGACTCAGATCATGAAGCTCATGTCCCTCCCATAAAAACACTGCAATAACAGCAGGCCACTCACTTGAATGGCTATCTTGACACTTGCACGTTATTATTTTATCAGTGTCGTAACCTTCAGTTCTCAGTGTGTCTACAGCAGTCTTTACAATAACATTAGCGTCGGAGTGTAGTATTCCTATATCAGTATAATCTAAATCATTTGTCTTCAATAACATCTTAAATTCATTTATCAAAACGTCTTTAAACAATATAGTACAGTAATCGTAACCTAGTCTCTCCATAAAATGTATCGTAGTTAATGGTCCATGTATGAAATGTCCACACTCCTGTTTTGGGAAAAACTTTTGCAGTGCTTTTTGCAGTATACAAATCCCTTACCACATCTAAAACAGATGATATGTCGAAGGTGTTCCTCAAGTTTTTAGACAAAGAAACTCGCTGCTCATCTGACAACAATACCAGTTCAGTGTCTAAATATTCGCGATCAAAGCTGCGATAAAACTTATACCAGTGACCCTGTATCATGTCACAGGCTACCCACACGTGGTGTTCATCGGATAACTTTATTTTAGAGTAACAATTAACTCTTGCATCACAACGTTAGTGGGAGGAGAATAGTTCCAGAAAACCTGCATATCGTCTATAAATGCACTACTGTCCGTTTGAGATGCTATCAGATTCGCTATATTTTGAGGTAAACCTATCAGTCGTTCCATCTTGATGATAACAACTTGGTTTCTCACTTCTACTAACTACATTTATTAACTTCCCATTTAGCTCAACTTATGTGTTATGGGGGTCTTCATATTCAACCGTGATCGTCTCACAGCTTACCCCTGCGTAACCCAGTGCAGTTTCATACAAGTTAGCATTATTACCTTCACCAGCAAATGTGATAACCACGATCTTGTTCTTCTTATCAGATAACGCTATCTCTAGAATCTTCCCGCACATAATAACTGTTTTACCGGTCCCAGCCGGTCCATGAGGGTCCATCTATCCACAACAACTTTTCTTTTGATTTTAATGTCTTGTCTTGTTCAGCAGTCAAATATTTGATACCGACAAAATCTCTTACTTCAGGAGGAGCTTCTAGTTTCAAGGCTTCGTGTACCAAAATCAACCCATTAGGTGAGGAAACTTTATATCTTAAGTATAAGGAGTATCGTTCTATCCTAAACAAAGCTATAAAATCTGCGAAAAAAGCCCACTATGGAAAAAAATTTGAACTTGCTAAAGGAAATATTAAAAAAACCTGGGAATTGATTAACGAACTCAGGGGTAAATCTAAAAAAGATATAAAAGCATCATTCTTAATTGATGGTCGAATTGTAACTGAACGCCGTGAGATTGCTAACGGATTTAACATCTACTTCTCGTCTATTGCTCGTAATCTTAATTCAAAAGTTCAATCTTCTGTACCATCTCGTACGGTAACTGATGGCAATTTTATTAAGACGAAGTTTAAACAATACCTCAAGGGCAGAGAAAGAATAGTGAACTCTTTTTTTCTCAGCCCCTGTGACGAGGAAGAGATAAGTAAAATCATTGGTAGCCTTGAAAATGGGAAGGCAAGTGATATCTCTGTTAAAGTCTTAAAAAAGAGTGTAAATTATCTGTCTGGTCATATCTCTAGATTCTTTAATTGGTTCTTGGACAATGGGGTCTTTCCAAACAAGCTTAAAACGGGCTCTATTACACCAATTTATAAAAAAGGAGACTCACGATGCCTTGATAACTATCGACCTGTTTCTACATTACCGATATTTGGAAAAATACTTGAAAAAATAATCTATAATAGGTTATATAATTACCTCAGTGCTATGAACGTGATTTATGATCGACAATTTGGTTTTAGAAAACAACACTCAACAATCAACATCTCATGCCGTAAACTATTCTGTCAATAAAATACTTAATGAGATTGAACAGAAAAATCATGTAATTGGAATATTTATTGATCTAAGTAAAGCATTTGACACAATTGAGCACGATAAACTCCTGCATAAACTTGAACACTATGGAGTAAGAGGTATTGCACTAAAAACTCTTGCTAGCTATCTAACAAACCGTAGCCAAGTAACTTCTTTTCAAACTGAAAAGTCGGACAAGTGTTCAGTTGAGTATGGTGTACCCCAGGGGTCAGTGTTAGGACCTCTACTATTTCTGATTTATATAAATGATATTGTGAGCTCCTCAAGCTTGGCTGAATTCGTCCTGTTTGCTGATGATACAAATATTTTTGTGATAGGTAGTTCAGCACAGGAAGCTTTTGAAAAAGCTAATCATGTAATGAAACAAGTCAGTAACTATATGGAGTCTAACAAGTTACATATAAATGCAGGGAAAAGTTGTTATATGCATTTTCAGCCAGGTTTGTCAAGAGCAACACAGACCTGTGCCAGAACACGGCCCTTTAACAGGAATCTAACGATTTTAATAGATGGCAAAAAGCTAGAAAAAGTTCAATGTACAAAGTTTCTTGGGGTGATAATAGACGAACAGCTAAGCTGGGAACCACATCTTAATCATTTATCTTTAAAGCTGAACTCCAGTATTGTATCGATTAAGAGAATTTGCAAATTCATTCCCAAATCTGAATATTTGAAACTATACAATGCTCTTTTTATGTCACATCTTAGCTATTGTATAAGTTGCTGGGGTGGGATCCCTAAACATAAGCTGAATAAAATCTTTGCAATTCAAAAACGATGTATAAGACTGCTATTTGGTAACATTCCCAATTTTGATCATAAAGAATACTATTTAACCTGTGCACGTTCAAGAACTTATAACGAACATATGGCTAGCAAGAACTACTGTCTTGAACACACTAAACCGCTATTCACCGAGCAGAAAATTATGAACCTGGAGAATCTGCACATGTACCATACATTTATGGAATTATTCAAAATTCTTAAATTTGATGTCCCCCAGTCGATTAAAGATCTTTTCAAGTTCTGTCCTAGAAATGAAAAACTTCGTCTGATTGTCCCATTACTGAGGTTAGATATCTCCCAACAGAACTTTTTGTACACCTCTACGAAAATTTGGAATGACCTCAGCCCCTATGTATTCGAAATATGTGATGCTAATGTAGATGGGTTGATAATCCCGGGTTCTTCCAAGAATTCAGACTTATCAGCTTCGTCAGGTGTTATTAAATCTAACCTTAAAAAGCACTTGCTATCCCTCCAAAATCGAGATGACCCTAATACATGGTAACTAATCTATATTATATCTCAAACTCTACATCCGGTACGGCTATGCACACATGATATCTCTCTCTGCCATGAAACATGGCTAACCTTTTAAACTGTGATTCAAAACCTAAAGCTAAACTAAAACTCAACTGGGCTCTCCTTTGTCACCAAACTAAACCAATAAGTAATTTAAGATTATTATATTTTTCTATATTTGTATACTGTAATTAGTATATTGACGTAGTGGATGGTTGAGGGGGTTTCAAGCACAGGTCACTCTCAAATCCTAAAGATAAGCAGTGGCCTTCGGCACTTGAAACCTCTTCAAACCTCCCCTGATTTATTTATTATTGATATTGTTTGATTGTGCCGTAAAAATAAATATTTGTTTTATTAAATATTTGTTTTATTAGTACACCAGGATTTAATTTAACATTTCTCACTCCCTTTTTCTCAAACGTGACAATTGCGTTCCTCAACTGCTCATCAATATCTCGGATATTCCATCCCAAAGAACATCTCTTTTTCTCCCATTTATTATCCTTGTTAGCCCGCAAAGCGAGAAGGACGTTCTTGGTCTCCTCAAATAATTCAGGGCACTGCATTTTTGCAGAAGGTTTGTCTGTGATGTTCTTCTTCCACCAACGGCGGAATTTCTCGTCATTATAAGATGGTTCCTTGTATTCATTTGATGCAACAACAACCTTGAATACCGGAGGGATAACACTTCCTAACA